TATAGAAATAAGAAACTGGCTATGAATATCGGTTTATCTTATTATTGTTTACTTCCCAATCAACAGATAATGTTTTTAAAAATAATGGATTAAGTCCCCTACATTTGATTAAAAAAATCTTTATTGTAATGTTTGAATAAAAATTTTTTAACGTTTAAGAAACGTTTAAACATTAACATTTGAAAAAACATTTAATATTTTAAAAACATTTTTTTAAATACATTTAAAAATATTTTTTAATATTAAAATTATTTAAATAAAATTAGAAAAAATAATAATTTTGGATCTTTTTTTTAATTTATGTTTTTTTATGCCAATCTAAAAACCTCAGACGGCTAATTTTATTAATTATTTTCTGATTTAATTATATTTTAATCTTTTTCATTTATCGACCGGGTTTTGTAACCTGGGACCTCAGAGTCCCGTACCTTATCCATCACGCCACTTATAACTATCGATGCACATAGTTCTTATTGGTTATATATGGTACACTTAACGCAATTATATTGTGTGAACTTTTCTTCCATAATTATTTTATTATTCCGATCCGAAATTTTTTTATTAATTTAAGCTTTAAAAAATAATATTTTGTACATATTTATAATAAACGTCAGATGAATAAATATTTCATTCCAGTTTCTGCCATCTTTTTTGTAAACATCGTATATATGCCAACTTTGCTTTATCGATTCCTTATAATTATTAAATTCCTCTTCTGAGATATCTTTCAAAATCTCCTTAAACAATGTGAGATATTTCTCTATACTTTGATCCATGTACTCGGTTGTATATTTATCTGCCTCAGCACAAATAGTAATAAAATATCCTAATATTCCATTAATATTTTTAATATCGCATAAAACATATTCAAATTCTAAATCAGCTCGTATATCGAATCTTCTATTATGTACTGAAAAAAGGATAAAAAATCACTGATAATCAAACTTATTCGCATATTTCATTCTCTTTTAAATATGAACGTAAACCAGTGATTACGTGTATTCAAAATATTCCAAACAATGTTATTTAATACTTACTACTATCAGTTCGATTAACACCGATAATTTAATCGACGTAACATCAGCTTGATAATAATTTGTCACTACCGATTTTGAATTAGATTTGTTTACCATTTTCAACTTGCAATAGCTTGTGCCCAAGGGTATCTGAATCACTCTCATTTGTAGTAACGTATTATTTGTCAACGGATAGCATTTCATTTTTTTGAGAAATTGCTTTGTATTCCTGATTGCATCATTTTCCGTCATGTTGCCTTCTATAAGGCACTGAATATATAAATGTTGAGTAAAAAATTTCGCAAAATCTTTAAATTCTTTGAAATTAATTGAACATAAAGCAGTGTGCTTATCAACGTGCGAATGCTGGATAAGCTTAAATATCGTTAATTTTACTTGGCTGCAAAAAGAATATAAATACATATATGTTATTGATTAATCGATCCAAATATAACATGATTAAACATGATTAATTTTTTTTTTTAGGATATTGTTATATTTAATATTTATTAATTCTTATTAATTATTTTTTTATGTAAGAATTTTTTAATTGTTTCAAGTAGAGGAATAATACTTTAATTTTGATATATAATACATAATATTTTATTTTTGAGTATTTTTCTCAAGTAGAAATCAGAAATAAAACTTCAGAAACATAAATACAATCTAGTATCTTCTATCAAATAACATAGAAGTTTTTACAATTCGTTTTGTTTTTTTCTATTTGCAATTTTGCTATAATTAACTTTTTATTAAAGTAAATAAAAATAAACGTGACAAAATGGGTCCCGGAACTGACATAGTAGACAATAATACCACGTATTCCTATTCTTTTTTTCTTTTATACAAGTCATTTGTACAAAATACCTATGAATGAATATGCACATATAAGTTTTTCTAGAATCCTTTTATTTTGATATAAAATTTTTTTTTTGTTAATTTATATACATATTTTACGCTGATCTGTAAAACGCAAATATATAAAAAGCGCAGTTTCCTTTTTGCATAAAGTCTTCCTATTAAATATACGATGGCTTTCAGCTCAATAGATCTATTTGACATTATAACGTAACAATGTAGAGATTAAGAATTACTTTATGGTCTGTCTTACAGACAGATGTGTTGATTTATGCTGTACACCAATTTTATATTTAAAAATCATGCTTTAGAAAAAAAATATGACAGAAAAAACAATACAAATAAATCTTATTTAAGAATTCACAAACATATAAAACGGTGTGATATTATAAATATAATATAACTATTATTTAAACTATGCAAAAGAAGATGGCAAAAATTTTATTTTCGCATTTGTAACGTTCGTTTTTAATTAATTAATTTTGAATATAAACAATTTCTGAGATAAGAATCTCTCTAAGAGACCGTTGTCAGTATCAGTGTGATTTTTTTCTATTATGTTAATTTAATTGTTGTAATTATGCCAATAATAAATATCCAATACCTGACAAGTTTCACAGGATTTATAAATTCGTCGTAATACATCTTGAGTCGTTGCACTTTAATAATTTCAAATAAATCTTTAAAAAGGAGAGGTGGATAGGCTATCATGTATTCCGCAATAGTCTTCAACAAGAGCTGTAACAAGCATTTACAATCATATATTTTAATATATAACTCCATCGCTTTGAACATATACTTACTGGCATTTTCTCGTTAAATCCGTATATTGTTATTGTAATACCCTTCTCAGTGACTCTAATCTTATAATCAATCCCCGCTGCTTCGGCTGGATATAATTCTTCGACCAATAGATGCGATAATATATCACAGTACACATCCATTAGAGCTGCACTGATATTTCATTAATATTAATGTATTTAAAAATTAAATATAAATAATTATATAAAAATCATAGTGTTCGTAATTAAAAATTATTGTATAATATTATAGTAATACAATATAGTAACACTCTATTACAATATGCTTTTTATGCTTACTCCTTTGGCGACAGAAGTCCCAGAGAAGAAATAAAATGGAAATTCACATAGCATTTTGGCAAACAAATCTTGGAACATGGGTGATACCAAAGCTCTAACATACTATTACTTAGTAATTTTAGGATATTTTGGAACTTTTGCTGGTATTGATATTAAAGAGAAATCGCTGGGAAGGAATATATTTGGCAATGGTAAATGAAACTCTGGCAAAGGCTGAATTGATTTCCAGCGTTCGATGCATTCCCTTGGTATATCGACTTTTGTGTACTTCGCTTCTGACCAGTTTTCGACTTTATTTAATTTAAGACAGTTAAAATCCTTATGGTAAAAAATCATAATATGGTCTCTGGCGTCAAATAATTTAAACATGTTTGTATATCTGTTGTATTATATTCGAAATAAAGCTTATTTCCGGTTATATAATTGAGCGATGGATAGAAATGCATACTTCTAGACAAATCTATTACATCAAACTCTATATTATCTTCAATGGAAAATCTAAAATGATTTCCAAATATAAGCATTCATATGTACATTTTCTCTTTCTCAATCATTCTTCATCTATTAGATATTTCATCTTTTAGATATTTTTAAAATTAGTCTATCTAAGATTTAATATTATTTACCTAAAATTATTCTCCGTAATCTTATAAATCTCATCGTCTTTTCTGCGGACCTTCTTTCTTTAATAAATTGATGAAGGAAAAGATCACATTTAAGAATTCCTCTAGATATTGCAATTCATCATAGGAGAAAACCGTAATCGTAAGATTTAGTAATGTATACATGGAGGTATGCATAAAACTGCTTTTATTGTTATTTCGCATTTACATCTTTTGCGTAGATAACTAGTTAAAGAACCTTTTCCTTTATGCTCAATAATCCATGAGATATATTGATGTGGTTTACTTTTGTAGAAATCAACAAACGAGGGCATTGGCCACGTTATTTCTATCTACAAGAGACAATTTTTACTTTACAGATATTTTTATGAATTTATTTAGCATAATATTTTTATTGAAATTCAGTTTTGTTCACATATTCGGTTGAAATTATGGATATTGCTAATTCTATACATATTTTGGAAAGCTGGAGTAACAAAAGAAATACTGTCTTTAAATTCGGTAGTTGTCGGGAGGCAGCCAATTACTTGGTACGTTAAAAAAGCACTTAATGACATTATTTTCCAATGTATCCAGTGGTAATTTTGCCTGTAGAAAACGTATTATATATTATGATTTAAATATATTAATATTCAATGATTCTTGTCACAATTTAAACGAAATTACTTGTATAACAAACTTTATTCTGTGAGCACTGTAATGGCGTATCTTAAATTTAACCATTTCTTCGAACAACATGTTGTCATCTACTCTATGGTATAATTGCATAAAACTGTCTTTAGGAAACATATTAGCTGGATGACCTGGCAGCGCAAAAAAAGAAAACAATTGTTCTATTCTATTCCTGTAAGATGATGAAACAATTCGTAGCTCTATATAAAAATCACATGTAAATATAATGTAAGTAAACAATAGCATGTAAATATGTCATTATGTGATAAATATATCATTATAAATTGTGCCGATGGCATCACAATTATGAATTATGTATACCTGCTTCTACCTCCTCTCGCCATTGTTTAAAGTTATCTTTTTTTAAAGGTTTAATCAAAATTGCAGCAAAACGATCAAGAGCTGATAACAAGTACTTATTTTTTATTTGAAAATAAAATATTGTATACTCGCATTCTGTTGAGGCATAAGTGAAGCCATCATACTTACTAATAAATGCATCAAAATTATTATACTGCAAATAAGATAATATTTGTACACACTACACTATATAACAATAAATGAATTTTATGAAATCATACGCTATATGGTAATACTTCTAAATAATTTTCGGATTCCGTATACTCTAATAATTTCTCAAAGTAGCATGCTAAGCCTGGAGTTATCAATGAATTGAAACAACCTGCTCCCACACATAAGCAGCAGTGTGCCTGTTTAAAAATACATATCGCGCATTATATGCAGGATAAAATGGAGGAATAAGTACATCAATATAATAATAATTCGTAATCATAATTTCAATTGTATTAGATATTTCGAAATGAATCTATTGAAACTCTTCTACGTATAGCTTAGGAAATCAAACTTTAAGCATTTTTAAATTTCTCATAAATATCATAATATTCTTAGATTTTAAGAAGAAAGATACTTTTCATGATTCCGTAGGTCTAACTTCACTATTGTAATTCTAATGAATTTTTATGACAGATATAAAGTAAAAGGAAAACTTAAGTTTGATATGGATAAATCTTAAAATAAATTAGATTGTCTTGTTTGTACCACTTCTTCATCCTTTTTATCTGAATCTTGGGAAGTACATGGTTTTGAATGTTCATTGGATATTAGCAACGTTGTGAAACCGTTCGGTAATCGGATGGCTCTAAATTTAAAAGATAAAATAAATAATAAAAAATTAAATCGTTGACGGAGAAATTTTGATCTTATAAAAAAATTTAATTCTTCCTTTCTTATAAAAGATGCATTGTAACATTTTTGAAAGTTTGCCATACTAATATTTCTTATGTATTTCAATCGAATTGCTGAAGATTTGTTCTCGTCTCACCTATATTCTTGCTCGTCATTCTCCGATTTGATGGGTGGCTCCAAATATTCAACTCGATTTCGTTTTTCGTCTTCAACTACAAACTGCATCTCTGACATTACGTTAATGTGAAAATCAGAATGAAAACTAAGTCGATCGATAGAGTGTAATCCGAGAAAGAAAAGATCTTGCGTTTTTTATTCCTTTTTAATAAACTTAGCACAGTATTATAATCGATACTTTAAAAGATACTTTTAGCTTGCTTTGTGGCACTCGAATAAAGATCAATATATATCTTATATGTATATATTGTAAGCAAAAAAAGTGTAAATAAAAGCAATGTCATAGATCGTACATATGTTTAGTTATTTAAGTGTGATATTTACCCTGCGATATATGGCCAGTATTAATAGAGAAATTTAAATATGGAAATTAGGCCAATTATTAAATAGGTTTCTGGTAAGCAAGAATTATTATGACAAAATGTTTTAGAAAATTTAATATTTAATTTTTTTTTTAAGAACATAATTATTTTGCAAGAAAAATATACTTTGATAACATAACATATCTCTGCACATCAAGCTACAGAGACCCAAAGGAGCCTCGAGCGATAATGGGGATAGCGCGCTGGAGTTGGCCCGAAATGTGCAAATTTTTGTGAGCATTGATCTAGAAAGCCAATGTTCGATTGATCTGTTCTTACATTAATGTCGTTTATAATAAATACAATCTTAATATATCATAAATTGATCACTGAGTCTTATTAGCATCTTAATGTATTATTTAAAATCACTGTATTATCGTAAATAGAAGCAACTGTGAATGCCTGCTCAATTGATTATTGTTTAATTTATTATTATTTTATTATTATTAGGCACATTCTTGTAAGAGGTCCCATGCGACACGCTCTAGAAATGTGAATAAACTTAATTTTGACCTGCATCCCTGTAGCCGAGATCTTAAACACTTCTCCAGTTGCCAATTTTCTGATTTTTTGCTGAAGATTACGATGTACTCGGTTTTTCTCAATTTTCCGATCGCTAAATTTTGATATCTTTTTTTTTTAGTTCAGAAATTGCATTTAATATTGAAATAGTATAAATGGTTAAAAAAATATAGTTATTATGAAAATAAAAAAAAGGATCATTTTACCGCTCGTATGCTCACCTCCGGTTTCGAAAAGGAATCTCTAGATAAATCTAATGACTTTTTTTTTAAAGAAGGATCTACATAATCCTGATGAAAATAAAAATCGGAGCGTATAAATTGGATATAACGGATAAGTAACAGAAGCGTAAACGAAATTTCTAGAAAGTGAAAATTAGAACAATAAAACATAAAAGAAGCATTTACACTTTTTTTACATTTTGATATTTCAATTTTCGTCTCTTTTCACCTTTTTCACGCTTCTATTATTCTATATTCGATTTACACTTCGATTTTTATTTTTACCAAGAAAGGAAACAATCGATTTCCGGCTTAACAGTCTAATCATTAGTGCACGGACTGTCGGACTTCAATGGAACACTATTTGAAAATTCGCAACTCTATTAGGACCAACCATTTTAGGTATGCACATGTCCCTCTGATAGTTATTGATTATTGTTATCTTTCAAAGGGTATTCCAAAAGGCAAGTGAACAACAAGATTCACGGAATGTTAGCAATAAATTTCGATATGCCGATAATCCGCAAATATTTTGGCATCTCTAAACAATATACTAAAGTATTTTTAAAAGCTCACTATGGTTAAATATAAAAGTAATTGAGAGCACATTATGTCTAAACATTCCTCCCCTATTTTTTTTTTTAATAACATTGTTCAACAAAAAATGCCCTTTTTTCGAGCAACAGAGCAAGACCAGTCATTTTTGTGTGTCTTTCAACAAAAGACGGTACAACACAGTGATTATCTCATCTTTGTTGAACAATGGAAAACGACAGGATATTACAAGAATATAGTGATCCATGTAATGTGTTACACCATGTCATCTGTGTCACTTGTTAAAAGGCATACTTTTTTTATGACTTTTGTTAAAAATAATCAGTTGTTAAGAAGGAGGCTTTTAACACGAGTAGAGAAAGAGAGAGAGAGAGAGAGAGAGAGAGAGAGAGAGAGAGAGAGAGAGAAATGATTTATTGAAAAGTCTTTTTATATCATGAAAATATTTAAATAATTAAGAAATATTATATTCCAAGCATGTCTTTATTTCTTGATTAGGATGATATTATTACAGTTACATTTGTATTTATTCTTTAATTGCATTTATGACATCCTGGGAAAATATGTTTTATGTATATAAGCATATTTTATATATAATTATATGTATATAAAATATGTATTTTTTATATAAGTATATATAAATTTATTTAATTTTATATAATTATATGTAATTATATAATATATGAAACATTTTTTCCAAGAATTATTTTATTTATAATCCTTCATGCAAAGAAGATCGGTGCAAAGAATAATTATTGTAATAATTAAAATTGTCAATATATAATCCTCATAAACTCTTATTTTAATGTGAGAAAATTTCATTTCATTAACTTCAAATATTCTATGTTTCAAAATGAAAAATACATTTCCAAACTACATTTACTATTATAATAATATCGCGCGGGAAAAATATAGAAGCAAGAAATAGCAATTTGAAGAACATGCTGCGATTATTGGTTTCTTCTTTTTTTCATTTAGGAAAAACTATAATAAAAAAGAACTAAATTAGTGAAACTAAGAGGATTATTTTATAACTTTTAACAGCTGTAATTGTAGCGTTACAGTATTATTTTTTATAATGTACAAAACCTACGCAACAACACTGTAACGCTACAGTTACGTCGTTAAGAATTACATAATATTCTCTTTAGTTCACCTTGTTAAATTTAAAAGTCATGGTTAAAATAGTCTTAATATGCGGGAAATACAATTTTTGAACATGTTTTAACTGAAGAAAATAACAATTAATTTTATCGAATCATGATAATTTCTCTCTGTTTTTATAAAAATTATTTCTTTTTTCATTAAAACCGCAATCATTATTAAAATCGTGATTCTTACTGCTATAGATCAGCAAGCAATAATTGAGAAACAAAGAATTCAAAAATTTCTGCGTGTGCCCTAAATTACCTAAAAATAAATACATAATTTCTTTAATCCGATAAATCAACAAGAATCGCGGAAAAAAATATTTTATATATAATTATATTATTAATTGACATATTTTATATACAATTAATAATTATATTTAAAACATGTCCATATATAAAACATTTTTTCTCACAACCTTATTATTATTATACAGAATTACAATTTATAATATTATTTTTTTATATTATTATTGTATTATTTATTATGCACTCTAATTCGAGTATCCTTCAAATGCTGGATAAGCGTATAATAAAAAAGAACTAAATTAGTGAAACTAAGAGGATTATTTTA